TACCCGAACTATAAACGTGAAAGAGACGTCTTAAACTACGTGCGGGCGTTAGGAAGCACTATTATTTTGTAAATTTTAATCGTCAAAATTAAATCATGTTTGGCGCAAAATTTATTTTATTCGGGAAAAAGTGTATTCGGAAAAAGATACTTTCGGGAAATCGTAAAATTTAACTATACGGGACAACGGCGTTCGGGAAATGTTATTCGGGAAAACGTCCGGATACCGCGGTAAAGCGTTGGAGTGAGTGAGATTCCGGGATAACGATGCGATATGCCGGTTTCCATCGCACAAAAAATATTATACACACAATTAGTGAGATAGTCTCGTGCAAAAACAGTAGTTCGAGCCAACATAAAACTCCTTAAGATCCGTCCGCTATCAATCCCTTTTGGTTATTCTAAAATATACTTGTTTTTTTTGTTTTTAACAAAAAAAAATGTGTATATACAAGCTGTCCCGACCCGGCGTTGCCCGTGTATCAGACACACAATCATCTGATCGGATCACTGTGTCCAAGGTTATTAGATAAAATAACCTTTTATCTAAAAAACTAAGTTGGAAGGGAGAAAAAATTAAAAAAATTGTGAAAAATAGAAAACACATTGTATAAAAACAATATAAAAAAAAATTAAATTTCTTATTAACCCTATGAGATATTGAGTGGTTCACGATAAGTGAATCACCCTGTATAAGAAAACTTAAAAAAAAAATAAAGTAAAGTATTTGGCATCTAGTGACAGTAGAAAAGAATATTTTTGTTACTTAATAACTAAAATGAGTAGTCAAATTAACCAGATTAATTCAGCAGAAAAAAGATAAGTTCGAAATAAGGTTCGAATTATATTAGATTCTGGATCTGATGTACATCTAATTTCATTAAAAACTTAAAATAAAATTGTAAAATCAACTAACAAGGATATTAAAAAAAAATTAAAAAAATTAAAGTTTAAGAACGTACAAAGGGACCTACATTGAAGCGCTAGGAATAAAATAATCATCCTGTATACGTATTATTTATTTATTTAACAAATTAAAAGAAAAGTAACATTTTGTGGAGCACAAATAAATATCATAAAATATATTAACTATTACTTATTGAAAACACACAAATCTACTATTTAATAGAACGTCGATTTACTATATTCAATTTCAATTTTAATAATGTAAATTGTTACACACTAACAGAACAGTATTTACAACGTATTTATACCACGGGTCAGAGCATGTTTTTGTGAGCTATTTATTAGTAGCTACAGTAATATTTTGTACATAACAAACGCCACTTTGGCATCCGGGTTTTTTTTTTGATATTTTCCAAAAAATGTGACAAAGCGGTTTTATTATTATTTTTTAAGTTCATCATTTTTCGTGTTTTCTATTTTAGGATACGTGTAAATGTATAAAGTTATAAAATAAAATGCCACAATGACACATTTTATTCGATACCGAGTTGTCAAAACGCAATAATTATTACTATCGACGGTAACAATAATTTTAATTAATCCCGATCATAACCTTTCCCTTCACTCCGTACGCGAAGCCCAAGTTGAAGAACCACCTGCTGAGTATTTCGCTAACGTAGCAATCCAATTCGTTTACTACATATTGCAACATAGTCATTTCCTTCGGTATCAGCTGATTGCTCTTTTTGTACTTAACAGCATCGATAAATTTCTGTGTAGTCCATTCCGTATATTTCGGAATGATGCAATGTTTGCGGATATACAAGTATACGACTTTTTCATGTATATCCTTGAAGTATTCCTTGATGTTGTTAATTTCGAAATCGACCACGTCCATGTTGACACCGTGTGCGGACAATTTTGCGGACGTTTCCGGCCCTACAGTCGATGTATACTTGGTCAATTCCTCCGTGGCGATCATTATCTCATTATCCTCAGGGTCCGATTGTGCACCTAGAGCGTGAAAAAATTTCAACGCGTCTTGCATGCATTTAAAGCTGGTCGATACACCGTGAAGTTTGGCCAGCAGCAATCGAAAACAATCCTGATACCTTTGAGCCGAATAGTCGCAGCTTTGTCTCTCGTGTCGGCAAACCCGTACATAATTTTGCACGAGAATCTTGTGCTTATAAATAATCTCGGCGTACTTACACATGAGCATAGTCCCGATCTCGTTGTATCTTACTAGCACGTTGGATTCGTCCACTGGGTTCCGGTTCGAATCTATGGCTTGGAGTATCGCGGACATGGGATCCGACGTATCTTTGCCATCGTTAATCAAGATTTTCACGTTGTGCATTCCGTCCCGCCATCCCGGATGACAGACCAACATGTTTAATTTATCAGCAAGTTCCGATGTGAATTCCGATACAACGCGTGCAAAACAAAGCACAGCAACCCAAACCAGTGTCGAGGTGAACGTTCGCCAATGCATTGCCATAGCGATTAAAAAAAGACACACGGTAGCGCACGATTCTATGCAAAAACTTTAACTGAAAGACACGGTGTAATATAAAATTTGATTAAAATTATGAATAGTTAAATTGTTTGTTTAAGTGCGCGGCAAGACCGCACGTGTCGTTAAATTTAATTTACACGGTGACAGCGGAGTCGACGTAAATTCTAATATTTAAATATTTTACACGATTTTATAAAAATCCGTCATCGGTTAAGCACACGTTATAATTGAAGGTTGATGTAACCTAACCAATTTGTAACTTATATATTACATAAAGTATAGGACATTTATATGAAATTAAAAATGAATCTATCCTCGAAAATCAGTTAAGAGTATTCACAGTATACATCAATACATGGATATGTCCTGATATTATGGCGATTTACTGGCAACACATTTTATCAATATTTAACATTTCTCATAAATCAATTTCAATGGTTCACCAGTAAGTAAGTGCCTACCTTACAAAATAATTTGACTGTCATTATGAAAAACAATTTTGATTACCAGGAATCTAAAAATTCAATATTTTGGTTGTACCTTACCTCATTACTTATCCAACATCCATCATCAACACGAGCTATCATAATATCTTCTATACAAATACACACATTAGCCATGCTCATTGAAAACAATTATTTTACATTTGGTCAAATGTTTATTCGTTCACACTAATTATCGTTAAAGAAGCAAATTCGTCATGTTACAACCATTATATTATAAGCTTAACATGTGATAATTAATACAATGTTAAACAAAAACAATTCTGCACCCTCAAAAACCCAAAACAAAATTGGTTATTTATTTAATTTTAACTTGCACCCCTTGTAACATTGATGGAAATCCCTATCCTACAAAAACACCCAAACATACCGCAGATTTTATTTATTGTAGAAAACCGAGGTACTCTAAAAAGTTTATATTGAATAGTTATTTAGAATTCACAGTTTTACAACAAACAACTTGTTTGAAAATGATTATATCACTTTCAAATAAAATAATTTATCGATGAACCAATTTCTCATTCGTTTTTGAGAAGTCTATACTGACAGTGCTATTAAGGCATTTGCAAGGTACATGGTATAAAATGAAAATTAAACGAAATATATTACATTTTAAAAAAAAATGGTGTACAAACTACAGACACGGTGCACATTAAAGTAATTTTACCAATGTATGTTTAACATATTTTGGTTTTATAAATATCGAAAACGGCATTTGAACAAATATTTATTAAAATATTGGTGTACACATATTCTTGAAAAATTATATGTCATATACACTCTTAGCTTGATTCACTACTAGAACAAGAACTAAAACGTTTTTTTATCACTTTAAATGTTTTTTTTTAATTGAAAATCACAAAAAATCGAGCTTAATTCTGAAATATAATATATTTCTTATTCATCAACAAATATTTATGCACGTGGTAGATAATATAACATGTAAATTGTACATTTGTATACTAAAAGGTTTATTTGATGTTATTCATTATAGCTACTATAAAGAAAAAAAGAAAATACTTTAATATGATTGGTTTTTGATAGAGAACATAGAAGATTTATACTGTGATATAACTTGGTTCTTCGAAATTTGTACGAAATATAATTTTATGGAAGATTTTAACTTGATATTTAAAATATTATCTACAACGCGTGTTAAAAACGTTTTGAATTTATTAACAAAATTTGAAGATGTTAAGGAATCACAAGGAAGAAATGAATAGGGAAGAAAACCGGTATAGACCTAATCGAAAATTTGTGGATGACTGGATGCCTATGATACAAAAACATATTAAAAACAAAAACACTTGTCTGTAGGAAGAATACATTTTCTGCTCACGAACGTTTCAAATTTTACACATTACATGGGTAAGTACGCATAACCTAAATTAAAAAGTTCACAAGACTACTTGTAATAACTGCTGACAAGATACACATAATCATGGCTTGTATTTTGTTTATGGTTACTTGCATAGCAAAAAAAAAATGACAAATAAAATGATTCTAAAACATTATTAAACCAGAAAACGAAAAGAAAATGATTGAACTTTGTTTTACTTAATCAGAATACAATATTTTTGGTTAGTTTTAGTTAGTACATTCTTAAGTATTTATGTCGAACAACCACTCGATTGAGCATATTCATACAATTATGATATTATTATTGATTAAATATTTAACCATTAGCATCATCATTAGTCGAAATCATATCATTTATTAGTAGTTCTTTAATTTATTACAAGTATTTATTATATAGAAATTATACTTACTTGAAGATAAATTTTGAAATGTATATCCGCGATTAGCTGACGATAATATACGAATTCTAAAGACACAGTAAAGTGGCATTGTCCTATTCCAGGGAGCATTAGGCCCTGTCAGTCAGCATGTAAACGTCACTCTATGGATTTAAATATTTTGACTAGATTTGTTCCAACTAGGTCTAGTTTCTCGTATCAACAAAACGTTCAAGTAACTTTGTGTCAAAGAAAAACTCCTAAAACATAACATGTCACTGAAAAGCAAACTAAGAAAATATAAGATCTAAGATAGCACTATATCTTAGACGTATAAATGGTTTTTAGTATCAACAACACGTTAAACAGTCCTACAATAAAACACGAAGCCGATATATTGAATGGCTGGAGATTCAAGTCCATTGTTGAAATTGAAGAAAATTGGCCCTTTGATTTGCCGACTTCTGCCATTGACGAAATAAATAAACAAAAGTAAGAAAAGAGTTTTATTAAATACATAAAGTAAATAAATAAATTTCATAGGTCATATATGATATTTAACAAATATCTTAAGAACATACTGATTAATAAATAAACAATTATAAAAATATTCTCTTTAGTATACAATTTTGTTATATAACTTCTGAGTAAAAACTGTTAAATATAAATAATTCAAATTTGAATGACAGTAAATGTGCAATAATAATACGATGAAAAAAAGAGAACACTTAACCCAATCGTTCAACTTTCAGCCAAATTAAAACACTTTAAGTTCTTATTTTACATAAAATTACTAATTTCCTAATTATAAACAAATATCACCCCAAAAAAGGTCTAATTTTACAACTTCATTTTCATTTATTATATATTATATTTTATTATAATATTAATTCATGAACAAAACGAGTTTTCCATATTTTACAAGATACCATGATGTATTAACAATACTTATACGTTCTAGGTGATTACTATAACATATTGATTTTTAATTCTTATTGCAGTGTTCATACTACAGGCGGATGCAACGAAGAGGACAAGACTTCAAAATACAGAGACGACACAAATTGCCGTAATATTAACACAATAAAATTAAAGAAGACAAAATCAAAGAAAATTTTAAATGCACCACATGCGTTCGAGTGTAATGAGTGTCAAAAAAAATTTACCGCCAAAAGTCAAGTTGTCCTTCATTTTGCAAAATCAAGTACATGTGGTTCCAACGTGAAGCATTCAAATCGAAAAAGAACAGGTAAAAACTCAAACAGCAGTAATGTGAATACTAGAAACGACATAAACCGTTTTTGTTGTGACGTCTGTTTAAAATATTTCTCATATAGATCTCAATTAGTATGGCATGGTCGCGTGCATACAGGGGAAACACCTTTCAAATGTAGAGTCTGTGCGAAATCATTCACCCGAAACACTAACCTCAAGATTCATGAGCGCGTACATACTGGCGAGAAGCCCTTCAAATGTACAGTTTGCAATAAAACATTTAGCCAAAACAACAACCTCAAGAGACATGAACTTGTGCATAAAGGAAAAAACCGTTTCAAATGTAGAGCCTGTGCAAAATCTTTCTCCACAAACGGAAACCTCAAGACACAAGAGCGCGTACATACAGAAGAAAACCCTTTCAAATGTTGTTTCTGCAAAAAAAGTTTTAGCCAAATGTCTACTCTCAAGTCACACGAGCCCATTAACACCGGAGAGGCACTGTACAAGTGTAGCGTCTGCGAAAAAATTTATTACAATTTCGCCCACATGAAAATACACGAGCGTGTTCACACAGGTGAAAAGCCTTAAAATGTCAAGTGTGTAAAAAATACTTAAAACATAAACGTTCTTTCTTATCACGTCAAGCAAAATTTCATAAATAATAATTCATCGTTTATGTTAATATTTTTCACTCACAAAATTTAATTTCGATCAAGTATTCTATTTTTGTTTTGCCAACTATTATTTAGCAAGTTATTATCACCGTTTAACTGAACTTAGTAATGTTTTTTAATTTTATTTTCCATTTTATTTATAGTTTTCTTAAAAAATTATAAAATTAATTTTACACGCGTTTGATAGGTAAATTAATTTGTTTTTATATTACAATTATTTAGATTAGTGGTTAACTCTTGTAAACATTATGCGATTATACAACTTCTTTCTTCTTCCTCAACTTATCGGCCCATTAAGTGCCATCGCTGCCATCACAAAACCTCTCCATTTCTCTCTATCGTATGCGTCGTCAAAAGATGACTCTTCTTCTATGTTTTTGATATCTTGAGCTATAACATCCACCCATCGGGTCCTTGGTCTTCCTAATGGACGTTTTTTATTTATTTTGTTAACTAAGACTTCTTTTATTACTTGTCCATCCGCTCTCCAAACATGGCCGAACCATTCTAGTCGTTTGCTTTTTATATATGAAATAATATTTGGCCTGTTATATAACTCCTGTAGTTCTTGATTTTTCCTTCTTTCGTAAGTTTGTGTTTCTGCATTGAATTTCGGGCCGTATAAATTTCTCAGTACTTTTCTTTCGAAGGTCATTAGCCGTCTGCTGTCTCCTTTGGTCAGTGACCATGTTTCACTCGCGTATGTGATTATTGGTCGTAGATAGCTATGATACAGTAGTGTCTTTGAGTTATGTGACAGTAGTTTTGATTTAAGGAGTCTCCTTATGCTATAGTAGCATCGATTGCCGCATGCTATTCGATCATTGATTTCTTCATGCATGTCGTTGTTGCTATTTATGTTAACACCTAGGTACTTAAATACCTCCACTTTCTTGAAACTATAGTCATCTACTGTTATGTGGTCTATGTTTGGACTTCTTCTTGTTACCATTAGGTATTTCGTCTTTTCCTCATTTACACACAACCCCAATGGTTTTACTTGCTTTCAAGAGTTTGGACGCAGTATTTATGACTTCATCTCTAGTTTCTCCCATTACTACAATGTCATCTGCGTATGCCAATATTACTCGTTCCCCACATATTTCCATTTTTCGACCGTCCCATACTTCTCTAATTGCTTTTTCTAATGCTAGATTAAACAAGGTGGGTGATAGAGCATCACCTTGTCTGAGGCCTGATTTTACCTCAAAGGTTTCAGACATTTCTTGCAGGAAACGAACTCTGCACACAGTTCCATTGTTACATCCTTTTATAAGACTTACGTACTTTTTAGGAATGCCTAGTACTTTCAGTGCGATTATACAACTATGCTCGTGAAACTACTTATAATTAACCTATGTATTCAGAACCGCACAACTTAATGATTAATTTAATTTGAGGATTCTCTGAATTTGAAATAATCTAAGGAACTTTGGGTTAAAATTGAGGATATTTACCATGAAGATCACCATGTTCAAATTTTATATGAAATAGTATAATTGTACCAGCTGTTTGAAACCACCACTGTTAGATAACCGTGACTAAAACAGATTGAATTATAGCTTGAATTAAAACAAGTACTTATTGCGAGACTGCGTTGGTAAAATTACCATTATGATAATGTTCATTATTTTCAATAGTTATTAAAAAAAACTTATAATAACTATAGTCTATAACGCAGCTGTTGTTGTAATCGGTTGGATGTGGTGTACATTTTTAAGTTATTTTTTTTTAAACCGGACATAACATTGTCTCAGAAATATTGTTATCTTTCGAATTTATATAAGTGTTTTTGCTCTAAAATCACTCTGAACCGAGTAAAACACATACCGCGTAGCTGTGTTTAGATGAAATTTTTTTTTAAATAGGTGTCAATGGTTGTATGATTGTCCGAAAAACAAATCAATTCCAAAAAGAGAGTGCTAATTGTTGAACTATTAATATTTACATAAATGATTAAACTTTAAACTAATATTTTACAAACAATCTCAACTTACCTTACTCCTTGGAAATGGGCGGTGTAACGTCCTCTTCAAAAAAAGCGTACAATATTTTTTATAAAGGTATACCGCTTGGCCTTTTAAAGTTCATGATGTAGTTTGTTATAGGTACCTAGCTGTTATTACTAAACAATGCTTGTTGAATACGTTAAATATATATTTACTTTAACTGTATGTTACACTAGCACTATTTGATTCTTTTTTTTTTTTCATGGATAGCTCTTATCACCTGGAACCTATATGATGGCCCGTGAAGTCGTGATAACACTGTTTAGGCTCTTAATGAAGTAGGTATCTATCATTAACAAACACTATCATTAACCTACACTAATGGCAATAACAAATAATATTTTAAGAACAAACTGTAATAAGCTCATTAGCTTCTTATTACTATATTAGATATATATTATATTATGTCATATGACTGTTCTATTAACAGGTACTAAATAGTTTAACTTTTATTCAAAAGTGTTTTATTACTATTCTGAGTCAATTTCTATCCTTACTGGAACACGAAATAAGACTCTTATAAGACAATTCTTATCCAGGGGCGGAGTTAGGGGGGTATGGGAGGTGCGGTTACTTTTTATATAATATATAAGTGTATACAATTTCTTGTTGCAAGTCTTTTAAGTTTTTAGATCTGGAAAATTATTATACGATCATAATTATATTCAGTGCATCAAATACCTCAATTATTTTATTGTTGTATAAACTTAGCATTACTTATTCACAGCCATATTTTGAATAATACATAAACTGGTATACATTTATATATTTTTAAGTTAACCACGAAAGGTACAAATCCATATGTTGTATGGTAACCAAATATATCTTACTATATACATCCTAATAATTGGAAATAATTTTACAACGAGTACAATTAAATGAATGGCTTAATTTATACAAAATAACTGACCAGGTGAATGTGGCCAGTAAACCGATTAAGCTCAAATAAAAAACATTTGGTTACAACATAAAATTAAGACTATACTATCAACATATTATATCGCAAGGAGATTATAGATGAAAAATAATCATTACTTAAGAGCCAGCAGACTAAAGCGTGTTCTATGTTTTATAATTTCAGCCGTTAGGCTTTTAAGTAGACTGCAGTTTTTTTTTTTATATATTTTTTAAAAATTTTGACACAGCAATTTTTTTTTTAAGTTAATTGTTTTTTATGTTTACTTAAACTATTTAAGAATACGTGTAAATGTATAAGGATATAAAATAAAATGCCACGTTGACACATTTTATTTGATATCATGTTGTTAATACATAATATTGTCTCCAACAAAAATATCTACAAGTCAGGTGTACACGATATTATGTCTATTAATCTACACAATAACCTTCGGTATTTCGACGCCAGTAGAATTTATATTTATCCGGATCATAACCGTTCCATTCACTCCGTACGCGAAGCCCAAATTGTAGTACCACCGGTCTAGTATGTCGTTAACGTAGCAATCCAATTGATTTACTACATATTCCAGCATAGTCGTTTGCTGCGGTATCAGCTGCTTGCTCTTTTTGTACTTGAAATCATCGGTAAATTTCTGTGCAGTCCATTCCGTAAATTTCGGAATGATGCAATTTTTGCGGACATACGGGTATACGATTTTCTCGTATACTTCCTTGAAGTAATCCTTGATGTTATTAATTTCGAAATCGACCACGTCCATGTTGACACCGTGTGCGGACAATTTTGCGGACGTTTCCGGCCCTACAGTCGATGTAAACTTGGTCAATTCCTCCGTGGCGATCATTATCTCATTATCCTCAGGGTCCGATTGTGCACCTAGAGCGTGAAACAATTTCAACGCGTCTTGCATGCATTTAAAGCTGGTCGACACACCGTGCAGTTTGGTCAGCAGCAATCGAAAACAATCGTGATAACTTCCAGCCGAATAGTCGCAGCTTTTTCTCTCGTATCGGCAAACCCGTATGTAATTTTGCACGAGAATCCTGTATTTGTAAATAATCTCCGCGTACTTGCACGTGAGCAAAGTCCCGATCTCGTTGTATCTCACTAGCACGTTGGAATCGTCCACCGGGTCCCGGCTAGAAGATATGGCTTGGAGTATCGCGGACATGGGATCCGACGTATCTTTGCCATCGTTAATCAAGATTTTCACGTTGTGCATTCCGTCCCGCCATCCCGGATGACGGACCAACATGTTTAGTTTGTCAACAAGTTCCGGTGTAATTTCCGACACAACGCGTGCAAAACAAAGCACAGCAACCCAAACCAGTGTTGAGGTGAACGTTCGCCAATGCATTGCCATAGCGATTAAAAAAAGACACACGGTAGCGCACGATTCGATGCAAAAACTTTAACTGGAGGACACACTGTGTAAGCGAATTTGATAAAAAATTATGAATAATTACATGTTTTGCTTAAGCGCGCTACACGTGTCGTTAATGTTCACATCGTGCTCTTGATTTATACGTAACTTTCACCTTGAACTAATTAAGCGCAATTAATTAAAACGCACTTTTAATTTACACAATGATGGTCGAGTCGGCGTAAAATCTTATATTGTTTTATGCAATTTAAAAAAAAAATTTTCATCGGTTATGCGCACCTTTTATTTAAGGTTGATGTAACCTAACCAATTTGGAACCAATATTCACTTATCGTGAACCACTCAATATCCCACTGGGTTTAATTAATTATTTAATATTTTTTTAAGCATAGTGTTCTTATACAACGTGATCTCAATTTTTCACAATTTTGGGTGTTAAATTATAAAATGGGTATCAATTTGTTTGTTATGTTTTTTTTAAATACCTACTCAAAATATTATTATAATTTCATTTGCTTACCAAGTACAGTTCAAATTAAACCGCAGATATGAAATTTCCAAAAAAAAATATTTACAGTCATCTTATGACAATTATCTGTGCATCGTACTAATTCCGTATTAATGTATTATATTTCAATACTTGAAAGACATCTAAAGAGAACCCATACACAATAATAAATAACTTACCGTTCCATGTTTTTACTTTAATGTGACTTAGAGATTGAAAATATTACCAATAAATAGTATAGCAGCCTACTTTGAAATCAACCTAGATAATCACTACTTTTGTTAACGTTGCATAGGTTTTTTTAGTATTGTGTTAATCATTTTCATTTTTAATTATACTTATCCATTCACAAACATATGTTTACTTACATTTTAATTTTTTTTTTTTATTCAGTCATCTTTTTTTAATTATTTATTATTTATGTTATTTACCAAAATAGTTTTCTTACAACTGTATGTATAATAATTATTATTAACTTAGTCCATGATTTAATGTGTCAGTTTGAGGTTACCCAAGTTGAACAGTTTGTATAGTTGATTGTAATAGTTGGTTAGTTAATATAATAAATACAATTCTAATACCTGCTTTTAATTTTAACAATTTTTAGCATTTCTCTGATTGTTTTAAGAGGACTTGAAGAAGAACTTTATGCGTATCTACTAGAGTAAGTCTACTAATTCATTGGAGTTAAAAAAACTAACATCACAAACTATAAAATAAATGTTTTAGAAATTGTACGTCATTAGATCTGTCTATTGTAATGTAACTTTTTCCTTTTAATAATCCAATATGTGTTATAGGAACTTGTGCATATTTGCGACTACCGTCTGGGCGATAAACTACAAAATAAATTTTAAATAGCCAAACGTAGGAATTGGATACAGTTTAGATAGCATTAAGTAACAAGTTTGTTATTTTTGTCAGCATTATTGAACATAGGAAATATAGGAAATATTTATACATTTAAAAAACGAATCTTTCGTCAAAAATAAGTTAAGAGTATCCACACTTCATGCAGATCATCATTACATGGATATGTTCTGATATTATGGCGGTTTACTTATTTATCCTTTAATATCCTTATATATCCTTATACATCCTTATATTATACCTTAATATGTCCTTATATATCCTGCAACTTGATGTATCTGCATGAAGTGTGGATACTCCCGACTTTATTTTCAGAACGACCCCCAGCCATAAGACATATCCATATCAAAAAGAAGAAAAGGAGTTTTATTTCAACCACCGATATTCGATGTAAACCCATAGTTGGACTAGGCTCATTACTATTAGATCAAAACTGCACGTTCATAAAAAAAATTAAGGCGATATCGTTTATAGAAAAAAAACAACAAATCGTTGTTTATTTATAGATTCTTGAAAAACGGTTGTAGTGATTTTAATAGTTACACGTGTCACAAATACAGTATCAATTAAAATATATAGGTAATATAACAGAGTTTAAACTGCTTCTCATCTCTTAATTGCTGTAATTCAAAAAATCAAATGTAAAAAAACACTTGTTAACTTAAATTTGGATGTTACTTTTTCATAGAAAACAACTAAGTTACTCTGAAAAGCTGTGTACTTATTTTAGTATCTTAAATATGTGTTCAAGATACGCAATCTATGGAATAATGTATTAATTTCATATTTTATTGGATAGGGGTCGGAAAAGTTCATTTTTTATTTACAGTTCATCAAATGTTATTGTTGATAAAAAAAGTACAACTTTAAAAAAAATTAGTAATCTTCTTTTTAGAAAAATTTTGGGAAAAAACTTTAAATTGTAAACTTAAATTCAATTTTGTTTAAAATTACTTCTAACGCCACTAAATTATTTTTAATGATTTTTAAAATGTAACCTTTAACCCTTTACTTGGCAATGTCTCTTTAAAAATGTCTGTGAAAATATAAAAGATATTTAGAAGATTTTTATATCTGCCAAGTTGAGGGTTCACTTGTCTTAGTTGCTTGCTTTTTTTAATTAACTTTACTTAAATTTATTTAAAAAGAAGTAACATAATATTGTTAGTGCCGTTATACCGCATTAACCATGCTAAGCAGTTAACGCATAATGATAACAATATTATGTAGTATACAACACTAAAGCTGAATAAAACATTTGAGAAGCCATCCAATGAGATGGAAGTACCTATTTCTTTACCAAAAATAAGTTAACTTCGATAAAGTTATTTTAAATACATTTATATCCTAACTAATTGTTTTATTGAACAAAAAACAACTGTATCGTGAATAAATTTGATATTCCTTATTATATAAAAAATTTATAATAGAGTGAATAATTATACATGATTTTTAACTAGAAAACATTCATAATCAATAATTATATAATATTATGTAGGATGATTCTTTAAGGATAAGTTACACCTAATATATCTTAAAATAGTTTTCATTTTATAGCGTTTCTTTTTGAAGGCAATTTTTAGTTATGTATATTTGACAAACCTATACAGTTATTAAGTATTTCCCTTTTTTTGTGCTTTCTAGAGCTCTATCAAATTTTGAAACTTGAAAGGTAAAGTATGTATTGCTTATTAACTTTTTAACCCTTTGAGTACCCGTTGCCTTTATAATGGCAAGATTTTTTGAATAATTATATAAAATAGAGTTTTGATATTGTCCATGTCGATGCTGGCTCGTTTTCATTAAACAACTTGTGTAGATTTTGATAAATATTATTGTTTTTGTCAGGTTTCATAATCCCTTGATAGAATTCCTTATCCGTATCACAAAGGTCTTTATCCTAAAACATATTTTATTATAAACCGTAGAAATGATGAACCGTCTTTACTATTATTGGTACATAATATTTGTCACTTGGATGTTTAAAAATGTCTTGGACATTTTTGTACTTGATCATATTTTTTTTCTGCACTTTTTACTTAGACTAAAATTGTATAAGTACACAGTTATCGAAATTTAGCGTAACAGTAATTATTTTTGCTCAATTGAATGACATTAACTCAAAAAGTATTCATTCAAAACCGGTTATCGACCAGACGGTATTTTCATTACACCATTCTGCTTTTAATACATACTATTAATTTGGATAGGTACTAAAAAACATTAAAACTATTCAAATGTTTAAGTTGTCATTCGAATAATAAAAACAAACTACTCCTTTGAGACAAAAGACCTTTCGACTAAATATTACAGGTATACGGTATTTGATCATTAAATATAATAAATGCACACTATTTTAGGTATACAGAGTGATCCGATTACCGTACCACACACATTTCTCGGAAAATATGAATATTTTGAGAATTTTTTTGTTTCCCTAAACTTTTAGATACATATTTTACTAGATTTTTCAATATTTTGAAAATTTTTGTCCCCAATATGTATTGTAAGCCAAAAAGTTTTTTTTTAAATGGCACCATATGTTTTTAATTACATAAATTTGTAGACAAAAAATGTAAAAATATGTTAGCGTTTGAATTTTTTATTTTCATTTATCCGTTCATTAGCCCATGACTTTGTAAAGACACTACATTTCCTCTTAACAATTATTAATTATCATATTTCTTCGGTTTTCCAAAACCGGTAGCGCATAAAATTCATATTTATTCAATATTCAAACGCTAACATGTTTTTAAATTTTTTGTCTACAAATTTATGTAATTAAAAACATACGTTGCCATTTAAAAAAACCAAAAATCTCCCGTTTCGGCTTAAAAGGATTGGTGATAACAATTTTCAAAATATCGGAAAGTTTAGTAAAATATTTACCTAAAAGTTTATGAAAAAAAAATTATTCATATTTTCATAGGAAATGAGTGTCTCACGTTAGTTGGATCACCCTTTAAGTATATGTGTGTAACTATTACTCCTTTTCTATATAGATAGTGTATAATAAATATATATAAATAACTTACACGAAAACCGTTTGTGGTTGTGTTATTCGTCTAATATTACAATACATGTATATAATATTATATATTTCACATTTTTTTTTTTTTGTTACAATAAAATAATAAATAATAAAATATTATGACTTTATGCACTAGATAGGAACAATTGAACATCATTTTTTTTTTAAATTGTACAAAAAAAAAAAAACAATAAAATTATTAGATAGTAAAAGTAAAATAGACAAAATAAAAATAAACGAAGAAAGTAGTAATAGAGGGTGAGGTTAGGTCGTCAAAACACGTATAATATAACAAAACAATACAAATACAACTAATTTAACAAATTAAAAATTATTCTATAAACATTCGTACACATTATTATAATATTATTTATACGCCTTATTTAGTTTATTATTATTATTATTATTATTATCGTCGTTCAACAGTTATTGTTTTATTGTCTGCTATATATTGAGTGAGTAGAATTTATTAAACAAAAAAAAAAAAAAAACAAAAAAATCGCAAGTGTTGTTTAGTGATGACGGCGGTGGTAAAAATATAATTGATGTTGTTAATAATATTATTAACTATTATTATTATTATCATCGTTCGGCCGGCAGTCTTTTACGGGTTAAGTAGGCCCAAAAACAATATCCACACAATTATACAAAATATACCTATCTGTCCGGTTAATCTATTGTTAATGCTAATTTTATTGTCTTGTTCAACAACATGGTTTGTTATGTACACACCCTGCACAACAGCTGATTAACTAATTTTACTCTTAATTTTAAATTACAACTAAACTAAAACAAAATATTCGTCGAAAATGTTATTGCGTGTATAATTTTCACGTTTAAAAGAAATTAAAAAAAAAAAAGTTATGAAATAAGAATCGACCGAAGAGATGAAAAAACGAAAATGACGAGGCCTTTATATTTTTTTATATTCTTTGGGAAAGGTGTATTTAAAAAAATTTAACTATTCGTTATTTACCGACATATTATGGGTTTTTTTTTAACGACTCCGATAAACGTTTTAAGCAGCATGGACGTTCTATACCGATGTAGATAATCTAATTGCTTTCGGGAGGGACCTATTGAAACGCAGTAACACATTATACATCGCACTACTTGCATGTATTCAACGATAGTAAACAATTTTTTTGGGCTTTATCGGTACGGATAATAACTATTACAGTGTGCCTTATAATGGGAAATTTCACCGCCGGTGTCACTTGAGAAACGTCCAACACAAAATGATAATATAATAGTATATATATATATATATGAATTATAAATATAATATATATATATTTTTATTTTTATAAATTATTGTTATTATTATTATTATTATTAACTAAATCTATACTTTAAATTACAACAACAGTCTTTACAACAATTCTATTATTCCGGGCGGTACGCTCGGTGCAGCGAGAGAACGCACCTGCGCAGAAACCGACAAGCGTTGCTTGCGGTTGCGCAGGTACGTTCTCTGGCGGCACAGCGATTGCCGCGTTTTTATAAATTATTATCAATATTATTATTATTGTCGCCGTGGTTAAATACTAAGAACATCTTAATGATTAAATAAATAAAATCGTCGTTACCACTAGGTACTATGCTGCAGATAGGATTTTGTCTATTCTCGCCCGACGGTACTCTCGGAAGAGACTGCGGTCGACGAGCACTCGGCGGCACCGGTGTAAAATCGTTGAGCGAGTCGGACAGTAGCTAGAAATCAATTTTCGTTATATCGAAACATTTTCCCGCCCGGGAAACGATTACAGCGATGCCCACGGTAGGAGGAGAAAATTGGCAATTTTTTTTATCTTTATACGGCCTACCCTAATTTGCCCGCAGGCGTGTAGCGGCGAATCTATCCGGCGTGCACAAGAACCCGTGCTATTCTTGAAAAGCGACTCTTCCGGTTATTCTGCGACGGTGCCGGACACGGTGCGCGGACGACGGAGACCGCGGCGATCAGTGCCGGCCACTTGTGTCGAAGTCCTGGTCCGCCTTTTGTTTTTCCTCCGTCTTCTCGTTTTCCTCCGCCACCAGTCTTCGTTCGCGTCCAACCTATTGTCACTACTCGTGTTGCCGTCGTTTGTGTCGCGGTCTGTGTTTCGATTATTGTTCACATCAGCGTGTTCGCCGATAGCCGTTGTTTCGGACGACCACTGCTGCAATTGTCTTCGGCTGCGACCGCTCCGTTTGTTGGCGATTGTCTGCCGCGATTCGGCGACGGTCGTCTTGCGGATACTAGTCATCACGGACGATTCGTGGTAAGATACGCGAGACAAATGGCCATCATGTTTAACGCCGCTGTTGCGGTTTGCGACTGCGCCATGCGGCTTGCCCGGTGTTGCAGCACTGCGATCGCAGCGATACACGTCGTAAGAGCAACATATTTTCCCGTTCTGAAAAACAGAAACAAAACAAATTAAAAAAAAAAAAAAAAACAATCATATCGACACCACGATGCACGTGACGCTTTTGTGACACAAAGGTGATGGAATAACGATAATGAAAAAAAAAAAGTGGACGGTGTCAATCGAAACATGTCGGTGGTTTTTTCCTCGAAGGAAAAACATTACGTCGTGAACATGTCTTACAGTGTCTGTAAATAGGTTTATGTTCGTGTTCATTTTACACAAGAATCTCTTATCAGCTGATTTTCCTATCAATAATCTACTCTCTTTTCCTTGCCTTCCCTATCCTCTCTTCTCCTTTCTCTCCATCGCCCCACTCCGGATGTCGCAAATTCAGGTTAAGTTACGACTCAAAATCATGACATTTTTGACAAACCCCCAGCCATAAATCATATTTATATGCGAATTTACTGGCGACTGATAAGAAGACATTGATAACAAAATCGGCTGAGGAAAGGCGATATTGTATAGAAGAAAATGGGGCAAGTTGGGGGGCTAAGTACCCTCCACCCCCAAAATATCTTTTAAGTCCTCTTGAAAAAAATGTTGTGCTTCATATAATGATGTATTTCATTATTATTCGTTTTTCGGATATTTGAGGACTGATTGCTATTTTCTACAATTTTTTGGTAATAACCATTGTATGATAGCAAACTGTTACGCTATAATTATAATTATGAAAACCCCATTTAGAGTATAAAAACGGCTTTTGCTGGTGACAGTTTTTTAAAATTAAATTTCGAGAATAGTGAAATTGTTTGTTGAACACTACCAAGTGATTGTAATCAAGTTAAAATTAACTTAAATGATATATATGTTTTTTCTTTACTTATTTTTCAGAATTTGATAAATCTGTTGTGTCTACGCATAATCATTAATCTCAAATCTGAATATTCAGTGGATCCAAATTGTATTGTAAGTACTTATATATAAAATTTGTATAAGCTATTACAAGTGGTGATAACACTACCAATAAGTTTAGTGACTTGTGAGCGTAGCTTTTCTACAATGAGACGAGTAAAATCATAGCTGAGAACTTAACTAGTTCAAAATCGCTTCAATACTCTATCGATCTTAAATATTGAAGAACGGCTATCAAAAAATATTGCCAACACAGAAATTATTGGTAAATTTGCTGCACAAAACCAAACAACGATGTTTAGATAAATGCGATTAATTGAATTTAATATTGTTGAATTTTTAAATATTGTTTTTAACTATAATATGATGTACATAAATGTAGTTATTATATTTGAATTTTTACATTTAATAAAAAAAAAACGTAATATATGAAATGTAGACCGTTGTTTAGTTAGTGTGATATAAAGTGATTGTGACGATGGAAAAAATCCCGGTGACTGATAAAAGGTTATTTGTAAGTAATCTGCTGATAAGAGACTGATAAGACAAGTTCGTGATCCGATAATGTTAGTCCTTCTAGGAGAAGTTTGAATTGATTTCATTCAGTGTAGCCTCTCCAGCATAATAGTTAGGTATGAAACGCAAATGCAGTCTAAATAATATTTTACAAACGTACTTTACTGAGATTAGTTACTAAGTCCCTGAACGTAATGGAAAATTCGTTTTTTTTTTTGACTTTATAATTACTATAATCCGCAGATATAGTGTAATTTATTATTGTACATGAACTTTTGCACCGACATTATGGATTCAATCCATACTTAAATGAAAACGATCAAGTAATTATAACTTTTTTTAAAGGGGTTTTTAAATAATTAAAATAACCGTATATTAGTCATGTTAAATGTTTTTAATGTACATTAAATGGGCCGTATATTGATGGTTTTAAACGAGATCATGCTGACATGCCTTATATGCTTTATATTTTATGAGCTATAGAATACTTAGGTAATGACAGAAATTGTGTCAAATAGTTCAATTATATGAACCATGTAAACGTGTAAGTGTACTTTTGCGACACAAGTCAGTTGTGCCGAGTATTATATACATTGTAATACCCAGTAAAGTAAATTCATAAAATAGTATTTGTTTATTTGTCAAATGCTTAACAAAATAAACCATGCTTATACTAATATGCTATTAACTACAGCTGATGCGCATAAATTAAATCTACAATGGCATACCCGCAGGATATACCTATGCTCTTAATGAGAGTTAGGCAGGCGCTCAACAATAAATAGCATAAAAAAAATTAATCTATCGTACGAGATATACTGCATTTTAACAAATGGCTTATGTAGAAATTAACTGTTTCCAATTGCAGCAATTGAATTAGCCTAGATAGCCGACTATACATTAAAAAATTAAGCCTGCTCTCCATATGCAGGTAGGGAAATGTTTATTCTTTGTTTATTTATAATTTTGTCTATAATAATTTGACCCATAAACTATAGTTGGCGATGAGAAATGCGTTTTGTAATATCCTTGTAAGCTAGTCAGATTTTCCATGAAAACATTTTTTTTTTGTTCACAATGCATTTAGCTGCTTGCGGCACTGTACCCTTAAAATCGATACAAATTTCAATTTTAGCGCAGCATTATAATTGCCCAATAGATTTCTTCCTCGCACAGTATATCATAATAGTGTTATGATAAATGCGATTCTATAATATGTTTTTGCTAAGTTCTACTAAAGTATTGAATATCGTACGTGTGCTTTGGTGCGTGTGTGTCCTAGGATTTTTTATTATTTAACAAAAAAAAAAATCACTTAGGAAGTGTAATAAAATAAACTATAGGTAACAAATGCGTTATTACAGATATATGTTGGCATTATCGTGCAGTGCATATGATAATAATAATAGAATGTGAGCATGCGCATGCGTATGATGTACAATAGTATAATAATAATAATATGCTATGTATTGTGTAATGCGTCATGTGTATGTGACATCGGATAAATTATGTTCAATACAATAAAATTCTATAAAAGAAGCCGGTAAAATAAATTTAAAAAAAACGATAGATTCAAACTTAAAGTAGTATAAATAGCACTTAGCAGCAGTAAAAGCCGAAATAAATGTTTAATTGGTTTACAAAAGGTGTGAGAGATTACCGATGCACACAACACGCGATATTGCTCACCGATTGGGCGCAGTACGGCGACACCTGAATGGAAACACATAATATTTTTAATTGATTAAAAAAATAACACAAAATCTTATTCAGTCATTGAAAAGTTATTGGTTTGATATTATTATTATTATTTTTTTAACACATAATATTTTTTCGAATTGGGTAAATTAAATAAAACAATTTAACTTATTTTCCCTTTACGGTGTCAAACTGATAAACCTTATCTGATAACGCTAATTTTCTTATAATAGACCAAAAATAACTAGCATGTCACGTTGGCATAATAATATATCACTATTTTTTGACTTATTATATAATGAGCGAGGCCCTTTTTCTCTAAAGTTAATTAACAGAGCCTATCAATAGCCTATCATAATCTAATCGTGGCCCAATTTCTCTCTAGCCTACTCCTAACCTCCTACTCCTCTCTACTTCCTTCATATCCTCCCACTGTATATCTTATACTTATCTCTAATCATATATTTGGTGACGTAACGCAAATTATTATAAAATTGTAAATTTTAATTAGTCCATGCATTACCAAACATGATGAGGATCCACATCAATAGATAGGGGATTTGTATAGAAATTAATTAGACCCGTGTACGATAATTGTAGCTAACAGTTTATAAAAGTAAAATTCATAATATTACACTTAGGCATTGTGATCGAAAATATATAAAAATTTGATAATCTTTGTCTGATAACGAAAATAAAAGGGTAAACAATTCAAATGTATAAAAAACATAAGTAAGGAGATATTTGAACTCACTGGAACCGGCATTTTTTTTTTTCATTTTAACTAACCATAGCCAGTAGTTGAATATTAAAACATTTAAAAATAGATAAAGAAAAAGGAAATGTGAGATCTTGTGTAAAAAAGAATTGTACGGTTCTGGCGAAAAGCAGGCATACCCTATATTATAATACATTTGTGCTATGGGTCAAAAAAGCCTAATGTCGCTTTTGGGTAAACAAATATTTTGTAAAGATATATTTTGATTATTTGTCCTGTGTTACGGAAAACGGTGGCGAGGAAGTAAGTTAAAAGACTAAAATTTGTCGGAAGTCCTGGATATTTTTTTACTCATTTACCAAACTGGTTAATGGTCAGATTATATTAAGCAAAACGTTCGAAAATACTAAAAATTGGCCAGACGTAAGTGACTATAATATTACGATGATATTATAATGTCAAAAAAAATCTTTTCTGTAAAAGTAATCTCCAACTCAATAGGACTCATACGAAACTGACTAGAGAGCATTCAAAATTATTTGTTTTCCCTTATTAAAAGTACATTGTACATCCAACAATGGTAATCGTTACGACGGTGACGTGTGAGACTCTTTTAATCGTTCCTACGATTTACATTATGCTTTTATATTGGTTAGTTAGCGATATTTACACGCACACACACACAAGTATAAAATATAGAATAATATGCATGCACGATGAAAATACTGGAACACACAAATTACAGGGAATTACAAGGGCACCAACGGTCGGTAAGTATAGGGCTGTCTTAAAGCGATACAATATAAGCAACAGCCCACAACACCCAAAATATAATAACGTCTTGACCACTGATCGGTGTTTAAATATAAATAATAAGAATTATTTACATTAATTGAACACCTCTTCAATTACTGTAAATACCAGTTTTATCAAACTAAACGAATGGTTTAAAATTTATGAAAATAAACCAACTCATATCCAAAATTTGTAAATGTAAATAGCATTGCCAGCAGTATTTTTTCTTTTGCTCCCGTGCTTCTAACGTTTAACTATAGAATTTATCGGTTATGTGAACTAAGTTCTGTTGTCATTCCGAAAGAATATTATGTTACATTAATTAAATTTACTACTAATTTTCTATCTCTATCTCAGGTAAAAAAACCATAACATATAGTAATATTTTAACATCACTAATATCTCTAATGATTTCTAATATTTTATCAATATAAACTTTAAAGTACTTATAAATACCTTGCAATTACAAGATGTACACATATCAGCTGGATCGTCCCAACGCGCACCTGATTGATAGACGCGTCCTTCGTAAAAACATGGAGTGTCCGTGGCTGATAATGTGTTGTTGTCGTTTTCGCCATCATAGTGATGAATGCAGTTGGGATTGAACGCGGCCACCAAAGCTACAGCGGCAGTTGCTACTGGAACCAATCGGCTGGCTGGCAATAAATCGGATAATTTTGGTAAACAGCAATCACTGATTGGATGTCTGTTACCGTATTTTGTCGTTGGCAATGCTGGTGTAAGCAATGTGCAGTTGACGCCTTGAGGAAGTAATGGTGGGCACTGCATTGGCCAGCAATCAACTTGACCCATCTAAAAAAAATTGCAAAATTTTACACTCGATACATCTACGACGAAATCTGGAAATTGAGCAGGTGGAAAAATTCACATAGCTAGGAATGTTAAAAGTGCTGATGGGAGGAGCAAAAAGGAAATAGCAAAGCGAATAATATGTCAAGCTGAAATTGCATTCAACAAAAAAGGACATTTTTCTTTCAAGAAATATTAGCCTAAATATCGGAAAAAATATCATAATAACACACGTTTGAATTAAAACGCTTGGTAGCAAAACATGAACAATAATTGCTAAAGAAGGATAGAAGCTTTTAAGATATGGTGCTGCAAAAGTATGTTCAGGATAAGTTGGACGGACATATGGACTAACAAAAAAGTATTGCAAAGAATTTCAGAGGGAAGACCTCCATGAAAATGTATTCAGAAAAGAAGAAATGAATTTATTGGTCATATACTGAGGCATGGTGGATTATTTGGATTAACTATAGAAGAGCTTGCAGAAATTAAAAATCATAGGTAAAGACCACGATTGGAATATAATCAACGAATAGGTATGGACCAAAGATGCAATTAGTTTGATGGAATTAAAACTTATAAGGAAACTATATAATGCTTTGAGTGTTAATATGAGAGGCATGTAATCAATTTGATTGATTCTAGTTGGGTTGCTGTAAAGGTTGGGTAAAAAAAAAATAGACTGTCAAAGGGTTAAAGTTTTTTTTATACTAACCAAACACTCGCACGTCTGGCACTGGTAAACCCATTGTTGACCACTATGAAACCATACATTTGGTATTTCTTGATGACTGCAAGACGACTGAGCATCGCACTTAGCACAACAACTTAGTTTTTTATGATCCTCGTTTGAGCAATCGCACTCGATGCGTCCACATTTTAAATTTCCACTTACACAAGTGCAATTGGTACACTCTTGAGGCATAAACCACGAACCGTTTTCTAATTCTTCAGTAGAGCCATTATTCGCTTTTACTAAGCAACCTAAAATTAAATAAAAATCCATAGTTATAAAGCTTGGTTATTTTTATATTCGAAAGAAGACGACCAATTATTGAGAGCATTTTTTAAAAGAGGACAAGGCTTTGTTAGGAATGAAAGGTTTTCCACGTGCTTAAGATCTACAAGGGTTAAAATAGCCGTACGCAGACAGTAGTAGAAAGGAATCGTGTGTAGGACAATAAACATTGAGCTTAGAAGTAACAAGACGAAAGTATTTTTACTCGAATCTCACTATCATGTTATAAACACCAGAGGATGAGACTATAATTCAAGATTAAGCCCACAAATAGAGAGCACTTAGTTTGAGCTAAGTGGGTGGTCAATAAAAGATTAAGGAAATAGCATCTGATACATATTGATCCTTTTGTGATTTCAAGTTTCAGCTAGAAATTGGATCGAAAAATGTATTGCCCTTACTAGATTTACATTCCAATGAATTGCCAACGCTGGTTGTGCCGTCCGAAGTATCTTTCTGGTGGCAATGACATTCGTACGAGCCAATTGTGTTCACACATATAGTAGACGGGTGACACGTATGGTTATTGATCGAGCATTCGTCTATATCTAAAATAATATTTTACAAATTATGAATATACAAAGTACTTGCGCCGCGTATTTTGTAAATTTTATAAATAATTATTTCTATTACCTTGACAAATCGTGCCTACCATAGGTGACCACGTGGAATCCAAAGTATTAATATGGTCATCGGCTGCTCTAGTGATGGCACTTGCGGTCGGATACATTACTATACTCTGATAGCCCGGATTGCATGCACAATAATACCATCCGGCCATGTTGACACAATGAGACGACGAATCGATGCATCCGTGAACGCCGGTCGCACATTCGTCCACGTCTAACTCGCATGCCGGCCCTTCAAAAGCTGCTGGACATGAGCAGACGTCCGGGCTTTGACATACACCGCCGTTTAGACAATTTTGTCGACAAATAGCTACGAATAATATTCATAATCAATATCGTATTAAACAGATAACGTTCAATAATAATACATGAGCAGGGAGGATGGGAGAAATTTCTCCTCTTCAATGAGAGACATATGGATCATAAATCGCCCACCCATTCCTAAGTTTGACTGAATTAAGAGAATTTCACACGATTTACTTGATAGTTATCATCATAAGGATGTGTGATAACAGTTAAGACACTCCGATAAGAGGGCAAATCAGCCAAAACGTTATTTTTGCTGTTGATATAAGTCAACTAGGGGCATGTCAAAATTTACTGTAAGGTTCCCCTTAACTGGAAAAAATACTAACTGGTGAATACGTCTTATGACATTGTCCAATTGACTCATGTTAGCTGATTCACTTGTCAATAATCTCTTATCGGTTATCCGAGGATAATCAATTTCACCTTAACACCTTCAGCTTCCCACCCTCCCCTTTCCTGAATTGAGACAAAAGCGTTAAGAGCGCCACAGCCATAAGATATATTCGTGTAAATTTGGCAAAAACTTTCTCTCAAAGAAAAAGCATAGGATAATGATCATGTCTTATGGCGTCATTGGCCTTAAGCAATCAGTCCATACCCTTACGAATCCCTCCCCCCTTGGCACAAAAGCGTCGACTGTAGATCCTCGTAGCAAATTTTCGACAGACTCCCAGCTACAAGACCTACTTAAGTCAACAGTCAATGAGACAACACTATGACACTTACGCCTGCAGGTGAAACCATCGCCTTCGTACCCGTCTGCACACTGACAACTGTAACCGCCCAGCGTGTTTGTGCACTTTGCATGCGGATGGCACGGTGACTTTTGACTGGTACATTCGTTCTCGTCGATGCATTCAAAACTGTTATAGCGAACGTAGCCCTCTCGGCATTTACACGTGTACGAGCCAGGGGTGTTTATGCATATCGTAGAGTTTGCATGGCAATGGTGTCCGTTTTTGCCACCGACTACCGAACATTCGTCTATATCTATAAAAAAAAAAAACAAGGATTTTTTTTTAAATAAAAAACACAAAACTATGTTAGAAGTTATTCGGTTTTTGATTCAGTCCAAAACAATGTTAAATGTTAAATTTATTTAATGTTTTTAATGTAACTTTTACTACTGCATTCCTATGTACAATATTTTTTTATGTAAAGCGAGGTGTCTTTTACGAATGTTTTTTTAATTGTAAAAGGCTTGAATAATTTATTTTTAATTTTTTCTAAATCATATTTTGTATCTTCTCGAAAAGCTATTTCCAATGAGCTCAGGACCAAGTTTCTATCTCTTATAAGTAAAAAAAAAATTGAAAATTAAGCGTTTATAATAAGTAACATCAATTTTTTTTTTCATTTCGTGATTTATTTTCACAGAAGGCAAGTGTTAAACGAATCGCCCTGTGTTGTTTATGTACAAATTATAACAGTTATAAGATTAGTAAGTTTAGTGGGTTAGTTACCGTCACATTGGAGGCCGGTGCCATTGTAACCGGCGGTGCACGAGCACTTATGAGTGGTTCTCACATTGATGCAAGTTGCGCTCGGATGACACGAATGACGTCCACCTCGTGCACAATGATCGTCGTCTGTGTAAGCATTAACATACACAATAACACAAAATAACACATATTATGAACAACGAAAGCAGCTGAGTCGATTATGTCGTACACATTATACAACACGGTTGCAAAGTCAAACAATCAACATCAACGATAATAGTATTATTACAAGCCGTGTTAGTATTGTTAGTCGTATCGACGCCGTTCATCAGAGTCCAAAATCTTCGTTTTCGACATTATCAGTACGATAAATGGCTAAAGAAAAATACTAATGTCTTGTCGCCAGATAACGTCAGTAAAAACTGTCTATAAGGCTTTGGAAATTTCAACCGAGTCCATTTTACAATAGTCTCAACGTGCAAAAGACAATAAGTTCAGTATTATAACGTTTAGGTTTCTTTTGCTTTGACCGTATAGATATGAAAAATTTGCATTAAAAACCAATCTTTAATCTCCAAAATTTGCATTATTGTTTAATGATTTATGACAAAGATTGTAAAATAAAAATACTATATTATACAAAGTGAGTTGAAATTAATTGTTAAACAGATTGCTACTGGTAGTAGATACCAGAAGTATCGCAATTAACTGAGGAAGTAAATAGAAATTATGCTCTTTTTTCTTGCACGACTCGTGGTGTTCGATGCAAGTATTGAAAAAATATGTACCTACCTAAAAGTATAGGAAAAATTGTTTTTTAAAAATAGTCATATCCATAAAGTCGGCGAGATTTAAAAACGCTTATTCTCGAATACGATTGTTTCGGACTTGATGTGCTTCGCATGACGGCATCGATAGAACACTACAACGTGGTGGATAGGGGGGGGGTTCAAAATTTATTGGTATTTACACGTTTTAAAATTGTGCACACAGTACCTGGACAGAAGTTGCAACATTGTTCGGGCACGGATATTTGTACGGATTTGTCGCAATCCAAAACCGGGCAATACTTTTCGGTGTCCACCCTATTGCACGTTTGCAATCCATCGTCGCAGGAACAACTGAGGCACCCGTCATTTATTTTCACGACTGCAGTGGTGCCATGCTCGATAATTTGGCCCAATGGTTTAATCAAACACCGGGCTGTAAATAACATTATTCGCGATTAATCACAATTAATTATGAATGAACAAAAAAATGATTGTATACCAAGTACGTTTTTTATATCTAAATGAATACGTTTAGATAACAGAATAAATCATCACAGATGAGAGGACATAGTTTTTTTAAATTAATTATCTAGATAGTTTAACCAGATGAATGTATCAAGTTAATGCTCAACAATGCCGTTTGGTGCTAAACCAAATTGTGCAAAAATCAAATGCACTATTGAAAAAGTACTACTAGGTACTAATGAGTGGTTTCTTTCTACAAACTTATCTTCATGCTTTTATTTTTACCATTAACATAATATATACTTATTGTACTTATTATACAGATTGTATGTTTCTTCTTATAAATAAAAAAAAAAGATATATAGTGACTGGTAAGAATAAAGAGAACATATAGAAAATCTCAGAGAAATGTTTAAGAGACTGTGAAGTGCTGGATTTACATTAAATAAGAAAAAGTGCATATTTTTACATGAATTATAAACGTAAACGACAAATTGGGGGGGGGGGGGGGTAGGCATGACTGTGCTTAGCAACTTTAGTTTTTAAATTAGCATCGCCAAAAATTGTTTTCGTGCAAACATGAGTACGTTTTATGGCTGGGGGTTAGTTCAAAATTAGCACCACACATTTGAGCAATATGATGTATGATATGTTTTTAAGAATGAGTGGACACCACAAAACATATGTATGTTTCACCTTAACCATCTATTTTCGGTCACACTTAAATAAAATGTGTGGCTGGGGCACATTTTTGTTACCAGAGTCACAGTTGGACCGGTCCACTACTGTAGACCACCGGCCTAATGATAGGTTAAAGAGGAGGTAATTTTAAATACCGAACATTAAAAAAAACGGAAAGGCTTATTTTAAAAATAAAACATACTTAAACAAGAATCACAACATTCCCCTGGTTTGCGTACCGGATGAGGGCAGGTAACTGGCATACAAGTCACCGGAGCACATTCCACCCGACCGTGCTAAATTAAAAAAAATAACAAAATATAAACAAAATATCGGAAATATTTTTGCAAAAAAAAAAACATATTATTATAAGTTAATTCTTTAAGAAATTTCACATTGACCGTACGTACCAGGCATGAGCATTTTTCACAATTATTTTGCCATACAGATCCATCGTTTTTCATAATTGTGTTGTTGCTTCGCTCGTCCGTAAATATACATGGTTTACGGCACTCGCATGACCGCATTTGATTTATTTCCCGCTGAGCAGCTTCAAACTATAAATGTATTACAATGCAATATCATTATAGACTGTACAATATTAAAAAATAAAAAATAAAAATGATAAAAACTTAAATCCACCAAGCAAATGAATGAAAAATCTTTGTTTAAGATGCAACAACTCGTAAGACATTTTTCTCGACTTTACAGGAGATCAAATAATTCAGTTTCAGTTACCGTGCAATAACATTATAACCATGTTATATAGGTTATTCGATTATAGCTTTATCTGTTGATTTTATCATAAACCAGAGCCCGTCAGTCGGTTCCTCGGTCGAAAATTGAAACAAAACAGTGTGATTAGGCCAAAAATATATGAGCTATATATAGATAAACCCATAGGCCTAGCTATCATTTTACTCATGGAATTAAGTATTTCAAATATTGAATGAAATTAATTAAGTATAGAAAAGTAGTTTAAAGTATTAAACATCTCACACAGCAGTCGAAGGGCTACTGTCAAAAAAGTAGTATTACCGAAACCCTTAATTTTTCAGGTAAAATAAAAATATCAATTAGGAAAACTTTTATTGATTACAAGTTTCAAATTAGTTACAATCATAAATAATATGAAAATAATATAAAAATCAATCAGTTCAATCTTTGGACGTTAGATCGGTCGACAGATGATAAGTTGTTCTTCTTTTTTTATCGAGTTAATACATTTATTTAGAAAAATGAATTTTTTTCTAAATGTTTTGCTCACGTTTTGTGGATAAAATTATAAATAAAATATCTTATAACACCGTTTGATGTTCAAAAAACAAAAATAGGAAATACGATTGAAACGTTTGCGTTATATTTTATATTTGAATTGCTGCCAAACCATGTGATGTAAAATAATTTCGACAATATTGATAAACATTGTGACAATTATTACAATAATTTTTCAATGAAATAAAATATTATTGTTGTTTGGTGTGTATTCAATTAGCATTAGATGACGCAACGATATGACATAATCTGTTTTTAGCTGTTATCCATAGCAATATTTTCATACTATAATACAGAATGATTTATTTAACTCAAGGCACTCATTCTCTTGGACGATAATTATAATTTCAAAACATTTTAAACTGAAATGGCAACGTATATATATATTTTAAAAGGGATTGAAAGCGGTCGGTTTTTAAGGGGTTTTATATAGGCAAAAAGAGGAATATAAAAATCCGTCCCTACTACGTGATTCATCAAGGATAAGACGGTCGTTTTCTGGGAAAGATCCAATGTTTTTCCTTCAAGGGAAATGCCTAATACCTTATACTTCAGTAGTGGTTTATTAGCCCAGATAGGATGTATTTTTTGAATTTGTTTTGTTTCTACAAAACCTTTTTATACCTTGTCGTTGAGAATGCGTATATCGTTCAACATACGTCCAATGACATTCTGCATCGCAGCGAACTGTCCACAACTCGGACATGAAGTGTCCAGCTTTGGACATTGAACGCGATGCCCGTCGATACCTCTGATTAATTGAACGTCTTGTAAAATACCCTATAAATAAATTTAAAAAAAAACCTTTATTATTAATTCTCAAAACAACCCGCTCAAATGTACCAGCAGAGTTGTGCAAATTTGTATTCCAATGATGTTTAGCTTCGATACCGACCCATTGAAGGAATTGTTTTTTAATTTTTAAAAAGGTACCCCCTCCCCTTCACTAAGGAGAAAAACACCCCAAAAATTTACCACATTTTTCAACTTAAAACTACGGCGCGCCATAACCTTTTGAGAAAAATAATCGAATGTGATTGTATGGAAAATTCTTTAGATAAACGTTGACAAACCAAACCAAGCTTAAATCACACTGGCAAATTATTCGAATAATGTGTTTGAAAGTTATTGTAATAATATTTTCACACGAATAATGTGCTATTTAGCCTACTATGCGTTTTAATTTATAGTCTAAACTAATATCTGGTATATAGTTATGTACAGTTGTGTCATTGTTTACATCATGCTATCAATATTTCATTGTGGTATGAGGTAAAAGGTATACTTAGTATAAGGTGTGTTACAATTATCGCAGATTAGATAAAACCAGATGGTGTACTTCGTCGTTTACTATTAACAGAAACCCTCCACGACTTAGTGTGACCACATTTCTAGAAATTAAATTATTGTACAAAACAATTTACTATATTATGTTATAAAATAATTTGTATACTATTATATCGGTGATAACAATCAATAAATTCAGCGATGCTTAGTTCTGATACATATCTCATAAACAATTTGTTTTTCCTACCATTGAGGAGGGTTTTGGATTGTTTACATTATTTCAATACAGGGCGTACGATCTGGTTTTATCTAAACTGTGCTATTATATTATCTGATAAATGCCACTTTTTGATTCAACCGTCGTCTCCTAGACCGCTTCAACGCTCCACAATTTTTCTCTAAGGAGGAGCCCACTTTGAGAAAGACTGTTTTATCACAATGGAATTTTGATAATGTAATCATTGACACAACTGCATATCGCCAGACTTCAATGCAAAAATTGATGTCCATATTCATAACACCTCTCACTGCCTCTGCCTCGTCTCTCTTCATAACTGGATCTCAACCTATTCTCTCTTAATTTCCCCATAACGCATGGCAATACCTAGACTCCCTGTCTTGTGTATTTATTTCTTATTCTATCCTCCCTAGTCACTGCACTCGTCCATCTTATCAACCTTATATTTATACATCAGTGGACAATGCGCAACTCTGTCTGTAATGATCACAATTATCATTGCTGTTTACTTTGTAAACAGAATGGACGCCTTGATTGCGCTGTCCCACGTATAGTTCCGGCGTGACGGAAAAGCTCGTGTCGACCGAACCGCCGGCCAACGTACGCGTGTACACCAATTGGCAGTCGACATAGAGCCGCGCTTGTGTCCCGCTTAACGTTAAGGCCACGGCGTGCCAATGGCCGTCGGCCAGAGGATAAGAGAACACTTCGACTTCGACGCGGCGACTTCCGCGGGCAATGTAATGCAATCTCACTTCGTCTTTACGTCCGCTCGATTCCAATTCCAAATACCTAAAATAACAACAACAAAAAAACCGGTTGAAGTTTTGCGAAATTCTTAAAAATTCTTAAACATCTCCCACAAAATATGAAGATTTTGATAAATACCTGTTCGTGCCCAACGAAAACGACACGATGGACCCGGTGTTGGCGCGCTCTTGACGGACCACCGACGCTATTGTCAGTTCGTCGGCGTTCCTCACCAATTCGACGGCTCGCTTGTAAACGTTGTCGGGTACCCGCAGCCTTCTCGAAGAGCCTAATTTTGAAATTGAAAAAAAAAACAATTAGAAACTAACATAACATATTCTAAAGTTCCACGTTTTCCTCCAAGGAAAGACCCTTGGATCATGAACACTTCTTACGATCAGTTGATTCTCCTATCAGTTGTCCAGCAACTATCATGTCGGCGTGTGGTTAACCACCGATAACCATGGTGGTAACTTGAAAACTTGTTATCATCATAGTCGAACACCCACTTGTCGCTATCACATTTCCTTCACCGCTCATCTTCTCCTCCCCTTTGTGGATATATTTTTAGGCATAAAGAAGAAAATGTCCCTCTCCTGTTCGTTAGAATGCGAGAAAGCCTTCTTTTCCTCCCCTCCCCCCAATTGCACTTTCCGGTATTGCGATGACTGTAATTCCAGATAGACCCCAGCCACCTTTAGGTATACATTATCAGTTGTCTCTTATCACTAATCTTTTATCATCCAGCCATTATCAACTGTCTCTTATCACTTATCTTTTATCGATTAACCTCTCCTTTCTTGATTCTTCTCTTATGCTCTCCTCACTTTCACTTTCTCTCACCCACTCTCTTCGCAAACCTAACCTATCCTGAGCTAACCTAACTTTTCCGTGTTACGATCACACTCATCCTCAGCTGCACTGCAAAACATTGAATCATAGATATTTTGATAAAATTCCTTCCCTTCTCTCTTTCTTCGATCTAAGACTTCCTTATTCCGTTCCTAAACTATCATATCGAACGTAACAGAATTCGTGACGATGACGAAAAAGTGTCCACGCAAATTTTAGACTGGCTCGGTGTCATAAGACGTGTTCGAGTGAAAATGTTAGAAATTCCCAAACGGATTGGTTTTGAGCATAAGGTAATAACACAAAGAGATAAACTGACACAATATACTAGCTTGTCTGCGTTAGTGAAGTGAACAGAAGGACTAAAACCAGTATGGCCACACAAAAGGAAAACAATTTCTTTATCATTGAGCGGTTGGTATATCCGGACTAAAATATTGTCACCACGATATATTGAACTGTAATTCTTTTTTTTTTGTTCTAACCAGTCAGAGTGACCATGGCCCTTCTGTTGTAAAACCACTATAGCCACCCCATGGATCTGGTTCGCTAACTATATTACCTTGCATACTGTACGCCGGTCTCAAACGGTTGGGCACAAACCCAGATGACGACGTCGTTTCGTCCTCGAGTAAGATTATCGGCATGACTCCATCGATGTAACTATGGTTTTGTTTGTTTTCGTCGCGAGCCTCGTGTCGATGATACTGGTAATTGTGGTAGGTTTGCATGGTCGACTCCAGTAAATCCAAAACTGCAAGCGACGATCCGTCTTCGTTGTTCGAAATGTATTTATTTATGTTGTCGGCCCCGAGCAAAAAAACTGCAACATCACATCCGTCACGCTTAAAATTAATTTATCCAGACGTCAGTAATTACATAAAAGGACCTAACCTATCCAACCTAAAATTTTTGGTTAGGTTTGGATTTTATAACAATGCCAAGACATTTTGATTTTAAGTCGCGCTAAACCATTTTGATGGAAACGTTTTTTATTTTTCCTATAAATGACTGTGAAAGTCTGAAAAAATATACCAAAGTATAAATACTTAACTAGTATTATACACACGTATATATATTTATAGCTATTCAAATTTCCTCTTACAGTATTTTTCTATAAAATAGGTAATTGTAAAAGCTAAAAAAGTTACAAATTAATTATTCTATTTGATGATTAAACTATTCAAGGTAATATTGAGGTGTGGTTTTAAAAGTCCAATAACAACTTATGTATTATATTTACCTATGAGACGAAAAATAAAGCAACGAAAATAATGTCTAGTGGACGATCAGTTTTTAATACTATTAGTCCTTGAATTATTAACATAAGATTAGGTTGAGACTGAGAGTGACGTAGACTGTAATGTTATTTATATTCATACGCACCACTCACTAGCTCTTTATTTCACACCTAAATATTAAATACACACACCATAAGTGTAAAAATAATTCATTCAAAAATGGTTGTCGACCATTCATTACTCTCATTGCATCATTGTGCTTTTAATAGGTGATTAGTATTTACCACGATAATTTTATTATCGTACAAATATTAAGATATTGCTGCCTGATTATTTTTGTATTTAAAACCAATTATTGCAGTAAATAAACTTGTAACTAAGTATATAAGAAAAACGAGGACTATGAAAAATTAAAAAGCCCTCAATGCATTTTAAGAGTGGTTAAGTCCAAATTTCATTTTGGGCTACAAATTAATTTAGCAACGCGATTGAGAACTAATATATTTGGTTATAATACGTATATTAATAATTATTATACAATACATCTATATCAATTATAATAAAATATGTATATATCATTAATAACTCGTGATACGATAATAAGATTGATTGTTGTCGTTAAGTTCAGCAATATTCACACAAAGATAAAATTAAAAACAATTAGACTTACATAAATAATTTATCTAATGATGCATGTTTTTTCAACTAATAAAAAAATAACAATAATACTCGCATGCATTCTGAAATTTGACAAATAGTTAGAAATTGAAAGTTCATCAACCGAATAACAATTAACATAACAAATTAGATACGATTGTTGAGTTGTAATAGGTTTTTATAGGGGTCATACTAAAATAGATCTTTTTAATTAATTAGGTCAATTTATTGTTATTTTTTATAGAATACTTCCGTACATAATGTGCATTTTCCTAATGACTAATATTATTACCGTAACGTTTTTAAGTATAACCTCTTAGATTGTAATGTTGACCATATTTTTCGTCTAGTGTAATGGTTTGAACCTCAACTATAAATATATATTTCAATCCATACACCATTTAATGTTCTCACAGTGGTTATTAACATTTAAAATTTTTTTTTAAAACATTTTTTTTTTTGCTAAGAAATTTAATACTTTAAAAATGTACTTAGAAAATGCTGTTAAAATATTTCCTAATGGTAATTCGAAAGCATTACAAATTTACATATAAATATATTTATTTTTTAGACAAAGGCATAGTTAGGGAAGTACTTTTTCCATATTACTTTTACTTACAAAAGTCGAATCTTATTTCCGGGTTTATTATAAATTAAATTTAATATGTAATAAATGGTAACATTGGAAGAAATTTATTTACTGGCTTTCTGTTAAAAACAGAACTTGTGACTATCATTTCATAAAAAAAAATAATAACTATAATTAATTCTACTCATAAATATATCACTTCTAGGATTGTTTTTATTTCGGAAAAAATATTGCCCTCAGAAGCGAGAATAAAAAAAAAAAATTAATATTAGAAGTTACAACTTGGTTGTTAAAAAATTAACATGAAATACATATGACACTAAAGAACTAAATGATTAATAATCTTTTCAACACTGCGATGACGTTTCTTTATTGCAATTAACTTCTTTTTTTTTTGGCTAGACAGATTAATTCTTTAAAAATTACTTGTTTAACAAAAAAAAAAACACAAGGATAATCGCCATTTTAACGGCATCTTCACAAAAACAACACGCTGTCCACGTTGTCACATCTGGCAATTGAAAAAAAAAAAAAACAAAATTGGCAATGTTTTTAACTGTATCAAAATAGTTTGAGTAACACTTCAGGAAAAAAAAATATATGATTGTTTATTAGGACGACGCTAAAACCGTAAGTACATTATTCTTTTAATTTCTACAGTACAGTACGAAGAGTAGGAATCATTTTTGTCGAGATGGACAATATATTATTCGTTTAATTATAATTTTTTCCCCCAATGTAACCTACATAATATTATTATATTTTTAACAATATAAAAATTGATATTATATTTTAACGTCGTATTTTTTTTTTTTGTCTACATGTTTGGTTTTTTTTTTTTTATTATTCAAGAGGTTCTTGTGTGCTAAAAATGCCAATAAAACATAAAATATGTTTTGCTCGTACACAGAACGTGGCTATTGAATGTATATACACAAATTATTAGCGTTGGAAATGCATAATATCGTATAGATCCTAAAATTTTCCTAATGGGAAAACGAAATACTCTAATTTCAACAACTAAGCCATATTATTGGAATATTACGAAGCACAAAATATTGTGTACAAAGCGTGTGATAGTTTAAGAAACAATTATTGTTAATCGTATGGCCAATAAGATTTTTTTTTTTTTTAACACATCAATTATTATGTAAGATAAACAATTTAGCAAAACTGTTGTACTATAGTTTCAAATCATACACAGTTTACTAATAATAATTAGTCATTTGTCATAGAAATATTTATATTTAGCGTGTCTCGTTAGACTAATAATTCCTGTTAAACAAAATTCGTACGGCCAATCAGTTTATACATCATTTCATAATACATTTTTATTGATAATTTCCAAATTTTTTATCACCTATTGTTGTAGGTCTTTTTTTCAACAAAAAAAACATAAATCTAGTGCAATGTGGTCTCATACGCCGCATATTATAGCATAAGCAACCGCTTTGGTAATCTTTGAATATTGAATAATATTATCTCCTATTTGAAACTAGAATAGAAGAAAAAAAAGTAAAGTAACCGTATAAGAAATAGCTAGCCGGTTTCAATTTTTTTTTATCGAGCATACTAATTTATACATTTTTTAATAAATTCAATGATTACATTATTGTTATGTAATACACTATTACCCAAATTGTATTGTTACAGTGTTTTTTCAATGAAACAAATTGAGTAAGCTAAAAAATAATTTTAACAAGCCGGCAAACTAAATAAAATACAACAACTATACAAGTTTTGATCACCTGTTATAGTTTAGACGATGACTTAAATTATCATATTTTATAGAATAGCTTATGAAAGGATAATGTTACAAATCAAGTAAGAACATATGTATTTGTAGTGCAAAAAAATGACTGGTCTAAAATTAGTTATCGACAAATACTTATTCGACTTATTAGCATTTAAAGCATAAACAATATTACAGTCCACCTCACCGTCATTTCATAAATGTTAAATGCTGTTAATCCAAAAAGTATTTATCCAAAACTGGACGTCGACCAGCCATTATTTTCAATCAAATACACACAAGAAAGAACTTATTTCAAACTTAAATAAAAATTATTATTTCATGAGTAAAACTAAAATACAGAGTTATCATTTAATCGCGAACCACTCAATATCTCATTGGGTTTTTTATAATAATTGCTTTTTTTTCATATTGTTTATATATCATGTGATCTCAATTTTCCACAAATTTTCATATTCCCACTCCCCTCCCAAACTAATATTTTGTATCAACTTCTGAAACTTTAATGGCAACGCATATATTTTATTAATTTTTTAAATTGAGAATAATATACTAACAATTTTGACTGCTGGATAACAGGTTTCGGATAGCTATTTATGAAGATATTAAAGTTTCAAGTTTAGGGCAGGAAGAAAGGTGGAGTGAAAGATTATTTTTATCTGAGCGCACTTCCTTTAACGTCCTAACTTTTAAACTCTTATAATTTTAAAAATTGTCGTCCAAAACTGGTTATCAACCAGTCAACATTTATAGTAAAATATTCTAAATTTAAAAAGTTAGTGAAATATGTACTTCACCGTTTAAGTTTCAAAATTTGCTATAAAAATAATTAGTTTGAAATAGAAAATTTTAAAAATTGAGATCACATTGTATAAAAACAATATGAAAAAATAAAGTCAATTTCTTATTAGACCCTATGAGATATTGAGTGGTTCACTCTGTATTGTATAAAAATAGTTAATAATTTCATAGATGAAATAAAACCCTTTAATATTTTAACCATTTAAAATAAATCTTCCAACTCGAATGATAAACGACACAATAAGGATTGTATTTGAAACTTTTTTTCAGCTAAAACTATTATTATTTGATAGAAAATATTACCGTAACATAAATTTTGAATCGAAATAGTTTTTCCAATAATGTTACCGAAATAACCGTACTCGGAATGACTTTATGTCTAGCCTGTTTCCACTCTAAAATAATATACTGTTTATGTCCGTCCAACACCCCAATAAACTAGCATCGGCCATCAGATAGGTCGTTTAACTTTGGTACCATACCGTACCGCCTCGCCGGAATAGTATAATAATAAATAATACTGTCGTATGTATATATATATATATATATTATGTATACATGCACTTTTATATTTGCTATTAATCAATCCCTGCCACGCTACATCCCACGTACACCCTCCATTTTATTATTGTATCTATTTTCGTTTGTATCAGCTTCGGTTAGTTGTTATTCTTATTTATTACCTATATATAATGGTGGTTAAATTCGTGAATATGTTAAAAAAAAAAAAAGTTTATGCTTTCCAGCACAGGCCGATACACGGCCGCGCCTTGAATAACATA